GATCTCTGCTCGCAAGTTGCCTGTTCTATTGCCCGCTCGCAGCCGATGCCCTCTGGAGAGGGAGCTGCCCACGCTCTCAGAGACGAGCCACTTGCCGTCTCAAAGGGGAGGAGGGCCTTTCGAGACTCTCGACGTGCGCTTATGATGTGCAATGTTGGTTGGGTCACGGCTCGCGACACAGTAGCAGAGGTTCTACGACAACGCGGCAACAGGGCTCTATCTAGTGCGGGCAAACGGCTTCGTGGAGGCCCTGTGTCTGTGGTCGGTCGGTCTCGGCAATTTCCTTACATTCAGTTCTTTGGGGAAAAGTGGTGGGGGGCTCTGCGGGGCGATCGGGTTCAGTTCTTGGAGGTCTGGAAGCAACTCTTTACACACTACAACAAAGCTAAGGTCTATGACTACTTTGTGGTGTCTTGGAAGGGCTCTCCTAATGGACCTCGAGGCCCCCCTGAGGCTCAAGAGAAGGCCGAGGCTGAGACTGCCGACGTCGCGACCAACCCCCTGCACCCCAATTATTACCCCAAAGAGTCCGCCAAGCTTGCACTACGTTATGCTATGATCCAGGAACGTGCGACGGTGTGGGATATATCCTCAGAAGGTTTTGCTGTTGAGTCCGAGGGCGATTCATTACTTATCTGCTCCTGGCTGCAGGGGGAATGGAGATGTGAGAACCGTGGCTGCTGCAAGAGGACAGCTGCCATGATTGATTGTACCTTTGATCTTGCTGCGTGTTTCAATCTGGGGCCTGCTGCCTTGGGACGTGAGATATGGAGACATGAATTCACGGAGCACAGTACACGCGCGGATGAGTTGACGCATGAGGCCAGATGTGGCCGCACATTCTATAGAACTCGATGTTATCTATATCAGTTCGAAACTTATCTTGTACCGTTCGCTACCAGGGATGGCTTTGATGGCGGGGTTGACCAGCAAGGATCAGGGTGTGGTTTCTGGCTTCAGATCGGCTTAATCAACACTCAGTGTAATCCCAGTGAGATAGGTATCGCTTCCGCGAGAACCGTGGGCCCATTCCCTGCTGGGCATGAGTTTGCTGTTTCTAGTGCCGTTCCCCTCGTTTGGAGGGATGCGGCCGAGGCCGCGTGGCTCCTTGATGGTGCTACGGTCACAGAGTGTGAATTGTCGCCGGCCGAAGCGCTGCTCAACGCTGCCCGTGTGCTCTTGCGGGACCTGTTCTCGCCCAGCTGCACTCAGCTGGGAATGCGAGTCCAAACAAACAAACAAACCTGGCTGCCCAGTCTCAAGATAACCGGGCATATGTTGACTCGCGTCGTGGGCTTCTCATGTACAATGTTAAGTGGACGACGCGCAGAGATACTATGACTGAATGTTTTCGTTTGCGCGCAAATCGGACACAGGCTTCATCTGGCAAAAGGATACGCGGTGGACAAGAGAGTGTCGGCCAGAGGAGCCGGCAGTATCCGTATACATTATCATATGGCACCACGTGGTGGCAAGAGGTGTTTCCATCATGCCGTGTATTCCTTGAGATGTGGCAAAATATACTATGTACTTACAACAAAACAGAGATCTTCGATTATTTTGTTCAGAACTGGAAAGGGACCGCAGCGCAAAATGCACCGCCCGAGGAGACTGGACATGGGGGCCGTGCGCAAACGGAAAAGAAGCAATGAAGATGGCCATGGGACTGGCTACGAATGAAAGACAAACTGTTTGGGACATCATTAGCCCTGGGTTTGCAGTCGAAATGAAAGGAGATTTTTTGTTAGTTGACTCATGGCTGACGGGGCGATGGCGGTGTCACAACAAACAATACCAACGTCGTCCTGATTGTGGCATTGATGTAATGGAACGGACCGCAAATGAGTTGGGGATTAGAAGTTCGGGATTGGGGAAAGATCTGTATAAGCGGAGGACAACGCACGGGCCGACGTGCTCACGCACTTGGCCCGCGAGGGCCACTGTTTCTACAATCAATATGAATACATATTCAACTTTGAAAGTTATCTCCATCCTATCGCCTGTCGTGGTGCCTTCGACGGGGGAGTATGCAGCAAAGGTACGGGGTGCGAATTCTGGCTTCAAATCTGGTTTGTGAATCAAGAGTATGATTGCAATAAGTGTACCTCCTATTCCCCTCTTCCTTCCTCCTCTCCTTATTCTGTGCCCTCTAGTATTTCCCTCGTTTGGAGGGTCGCGTGCGAAGCCGCGTGGTGCCTTGAGGAAGGTGCTGCGATAACCGACGCCGAGCTCACTGCTGCTGAGGCGCTGTCAAGCGCTGTTGTGCATTTGGCACGACAGACCCTCACCGCCAGCTGACCCTGCTGGACAAACGGTGCGAAAACCAAAAAAACCTGGCTGTCGGTTTACGTCCGAGTTGACCGACCCGGCGAGGGCGAACAATGTGGGATTTTTTGGGTATTTTTTGGAGATTCCCAGAGATTTGGATCCAACATTTTTTTGTTTCGTGTAGTGGGTTATGCCGCGTCTGCCTGTCAAATTCTCAGGGCCGCAGCTGCAGTGTCACTATCGGAAGACGTCGTATAGAACCCCCGAACATATTCTGCGAGTTTTCAAGCTGATATCCAAGAGGCTTTTCCTCGTAGCACTAATTCGCATGTTAATCCCGGCGGTGACCTGGTTGACGGTCTATCGCCGGCTTTCAGTGCCCCTTCTCCGCCTAACTTCCGGTATCCACGCGTAATCGGTGGGGCTGTAAAGTTCCGAGGTCTGTAGCTGCAGTGGTACCTTGAAAAGACGTGGAGGAACCCACTTGGTATAACACCGAGAAAGAACATTGTTCGAGTTTCCAAGCTTATATTCAAAGAAAGTTTCTCCTCGTTCTCTGAGCACTGAGTTGCGTGTCGAGCGCTCTACGAGGGTCCTGGTGGTAACCTGGTTGACGATTTTCCGCCGGCTCCCAGTCGGTCGGGCTCGACGCCTGGATATTCGAGCAGCCTCTCGATCCCCGCTGACACGTGCCTCCCCAAGACGAGCCTCCAAGGCTACCTGCTCATGGATCCTAGATGGGGGGGGGGGGCCCAGGAGAAACTCAGAGCGACTTCTCCATCAGTGGGCATGCGTTTTGATGAATCACTTCTGTAAGAGCGAGTCCTGGGGACCTTGATATCCGATATGACTTCGGACTTGTAGTCCAAAGCTCAGATAGCACGGCGCCCGACAAGCATGCGAGGGCCCGGCGAAACAAAACTGGAAGCCGGCCCGTCATTCTTGATTACCGCCCGGGACTCGTAGAGCTTCCTTGCTTTATATATATATATATATGAATGGCATCCGAGGGCGGGAACCTCGCATTCAGCGCGCGCGAGGGTGCGCGGCTTCATAGAAATGTGCTTGACAGCTCCTGAACCATCAGCTCGAGTTCAGTTGAGACAAAACAGGACCCACGCAAAAAAAGTGCACGACTGAAGTTGAACAGATGTTTTAAAACTTGATAGCGGTCTGCAGAGTATGCAGACCGGCCTTGCGTCTCGATATTCCAGACTGGCCCTCGTGATCTTTTCCTTCGAACGATGTGCTTCAGCTCGGTAGCGCCAAGTAGAGAAAACCAGCGCGACCTCTCTGGCTCTCCCTCCACCATCGCGTGCTGTAAAGGCTTACTCCGAGCCATGACCCTCTCATACTGGGGTCTCTTTCTTGCTTGTACATTTTGTCAAACCGATTCCGACTGAGATGCAACATGCGATGAGACTCCGCTGCTTCTCAGTTCTTCGTAAACAAGCTCCTCGAAGGTCTCGGGTGGAGTCGAAGGGCCTAGATACATTCATCAGCGGCATCACATGTATGCGCTGTCCCCCCTTCACGAGGGCAAGGTAGCGACTGCCTTAGCAGAAAACTCGGACCCATCCGTAGGCTCCTAGCTCTTCGAATATCGAGCACAACCAGACAAGTACCTCCGAGGGATGACTTGGGCAGGGAACTCGACCCGCCTGTTAAGGTCCGCCTGGCCCGGCTCGACCCGACCCCCGTTCGGGTCCGCCCGACCCGACCTGAACCGAGCGACCCGCCCGTTGGGTTCGCGTGTCCAGCGCGCGCGCCCCGTACTTCAGCGCCCCGCCCGCCCGACCCGACCCGTCCAGTTGGGCGGATCCAGCCCGACCCCCCCGTTAGGGTCCGCCCAGCCCGTCGCGACCCGCTTGGTAGCGTTCTCGCGCGTTAATGTCTCGCCCGCCCGACTCGACCCGCCCGCTAGGGTTATGGCGTGCCAAGTGCGTACGCTCCATGCTGTAATGTCCCGCTCGCCCGACCCGACCCGCCCCGACCCGACCCGATCCGCCCGTTACTTCGTCCGGCCCGACCCGACCCGACCCGCCCGTTAGGGTTTCCGCTTGCCAAGTGCACATGCGCCGTACTTTGACGCCCCGCCGCCTGACCCGTCCCGCGGGTCCGCACGACCCGAGCCGACCCAATCCGCAAGTTCGGGCTCGCGCGTGTCAGGTGCGCACGCACCATACTTGAATGGGCCGCCCGCCCGGCCCGACCCGCCCGTGTAAAGGTCCGCCCGACCGATGGCTTCTGTGGTACCGGTGGTCCCTGTGGCTCCTTTTGTAGTGGTGGTGCCGGTAGTCCCGGTGGGCCCACTGGCTCGTTTTGCCGCCTTACCTCCTGTGGTCTGGTGGTTCCGGTGGTTCGGTAGGTTAGCGGTGCTGGTGGCCTTGGTGATCCCAATGGGTGGTCCCGGTGTTCTTGGTGGTACTGGTGCTCGCCCAAGCCGGCCCGACCCGCCCGTACTTCCATGTTTCGCACGTCCGACCTGGCCCGGCGCGCTCATTTGCGCTCACGCGTGCCACGCGTGCACGCCCCGCATTTAATGCCGGTCTTCCTCTCGCCGCTAGGTTTTTCGCATGCCAAATTTACACGCTTAACATAATATAATTTCCTGCCGCGGTATGACTTGCCCGGTAGAGTTCGCCCGACCTGAGCCGGCCCGAGCCGGTGGTTCCCCCTTTGTGGTGCCAGTGGTCCCCACGGTCCCGGTGGTCTCCTCGGTGGTCGTTCCGATGGTCTTGTTAGTGCCGATGGTCGGGGTGTTCTGGCTGTTTCTGTGGCCCCAGTTCTGGTGGCATCGTGCCGATGGTCTTGTTAGTGCCGGTGGTCCTGGTGGCATCGTTCTGGTGGTTCCGGTGGTTCTCACGGTGGTCTTTCCTGTGGTGCTGGTGGTTGCGGTGGTCGTCCCGGTGGTACTGGTGGTTTCGGTGGCCTCCGTGGTTCTGGCGGTCGTTCCGGTGATGCCGGTGGTCCTGGTGGCTCCGGTGGTTCCGGTGGTATCGGTGGTTCCAGTGGTCTTTCATGGGAATGGGTTCCGGTGGTCGTTCCAGCGGTACCGGTGGTCTCGGTGGCACCAGTGGTCCCACTGGTTTTGGTGGCTCTGGTGCTCTTGGTGGCCCTAGCCATCCTGGCGGGTTCGGTGGCGCCAGTGATCGTCCCAGCAGTTGTGGTGGCACATGTGGCCTCGGTGGATTTGGTGGTCCCGGTGGTCCCAGTGGTTCCTTTTGCTCTTGGTGCCGGTAATTCCTGTGGCCCTGGTGGCCCCGGTGGTTCCAGTGGTTTGCTGGATTAGCAGCTCTGGTGGCCTTGGTGATCCGAATGGGTGGTCCTGGTGGTCTCGGTGTTCTTGGTGGTACCGGTGGTCCCAGCTGTCCCAGTGATACAGGTGGCGCCGGTGGTCTAGGTGTTCCTGGTGGTCTTTGGTGGTCTCGGTGGTTTTTGCCATTCTCACAGCCTCGGTGGCCATGGTGGTCGTCCCAGTACACGCAACCGGCTCGACTCGTCCGTGCTTTAATGTTTCGCACGCCCGACCCTGCTCGACGCGCCCGTGGGCGTTCACCCGTGCCGCGCGTGCACGCCTCGCACCGCAATGTGCAGTCCGTCCGACCGACCCGGCTGGTAGGGTCCGCTCGTTGGAGTTGCGCGTTTCATGTGCACCTTAAATTCATGTCCCGTCCCGGACCCGATTCGCCCGTTAGGGTCTGCCCGACCGTTTGCCCCGACGCGCCTGGTAGAATCCGCCCGACTCGATCCAACCAAAACCGCTCCTGCCCGACTCGCCCGTCAGCGTCCGCCCGACAGCGTCCAACTTGACTCGCTCGTTGGGGTTCGCCTGGCCGGGCCTGGCCTGCCCGTGGAGATCCGCCCAGCCCGACCACTCGGTGACGCCGCCCGCTGGGGGTCACGCGTGCCAAGTCTACGCTCACGACGCCGTAATGTTCCGCCCGCCGACCCGACGCGCTCGTTAGGATGCGCCCGACGCGACTTGGCCCGACCCGCCCGTTAGGGCCCCCCCGCCCGATCGGGCCTCGCTCTCGCCGTTGGGGTTCTCGCATGCCAAGCTTACACGCAACGTAATATGATATCCTGCCGCGGTATGACTTGCCCAGTAGAGATCGCCCGGTCCCGGTGGACCCTGTGGTGCCGGTGGTCTCGGTGGTTTCTGCGGTCACCTCGGTGGTGGTTCCGATGGTCTCGGTAGTGCCAGTGGTCGGGGTGGTACCAGTGGTTTCTGTGGTCCTGGTGGCTCCTTTTGCTTTAGTGGTACCAATAATTCCGGTGGCCCTGGTGGCCCCGGTGGTTCCAGTGTTTCGGTAGGTTAGCGGCTCCAGTAGCCTTGGTGATTCCAGTGGGTGGGCCGGGTGGTCTGGGTGGTACTGGTGGTTTGAATTGTCTCAGCGATGCAAGTGGCGCCGGTGGTCTCGGTCTTCTTGGTGGTACCGGTTGTCCCAGCTGTCCTGGTGACAGGTAGCGCTGGTGGTCTCGGTGTTCCAGGTCGTCTTTGGTGGTCTTGGTGGTTTTTGCCACTCTCACAGCCTCGGTGGCCATGGTGGTCTCCCCTTCACACGCAGCATTCTTTAATTAATGTCCCGCCCCGCTATGACCCGTGCGGAAGAGCCCGCCCGACCTGAGGCTGCCCGACCCGCTTGTGCTTGATTTATTGTTTTGCTCGCCCGACCCGCGCGGAAGAGCCCGCCCAACCAATCGACCCCCACAGCCAAGTTCCGCTTCCCAAGATCCGACCTCATCCACCTCCAACGCTCGACCGACACCCGCCGACTCGCAACCTCCACCAGTCGACCTCCAACCACCAGGGTCCGCCTCCCAGCACCCGCAACAACCCGCATCCACGACAATTCAAGATACGGATGACAGTCTTACGATCCTACACAAGAACGCACGTTCATTGAACGACGACCGCATAGATGAGGCCATCAACGAGCTACGCACGACGCACTGGGACATAGTATTGTTCAACGAAGTTTGGAGGACATCGAGCTCAGAGATGTGGGAAACCACGGAGGGCCATATGTTAGCAGGCTCCGGCCATGAACAACCATGCCACGGAGTCGGGATTCTAGTGCACAAGCGATGGCAGAAACACATCCAGATCTTCCAGGCCATGGGCCCAATATTGCAACGATGCACATGCGACGAGGCTCTGTCAAGCTAATGTTGTTTGCCGCGTATTTTCCGCACACGGGGTGCTCCGACCACCACGTTCAAACCATGTACATGCTCATATCTGCATTGCATGCTGAAGCACGCAAGCAACAGTACAGCACAGTCTTAGCAGGCGACTTCAATGCACAAGTTGGGCACCTAGAGACAGCCCCGCCGACGCACGACGACGACGACCAGCTCAACGACGACTTCATGGTTGATTTCAGACACATTGGTAAACGCACGTGCGGGCAGTGCGACTCAAGAGGAGCTTGGCTACGAGCGTGGGCATCCAAGGAGCGCCTGGTTGCTGTTAACACTTTTTTTCTGCGAGCAGGTGCCGAAGCTGACGACGTACACGCGCAACAACGGCGCCGAGAAGCAGATCGACTACATCTTGACCTTCATGCGTTTGTTCCGATGCTGTCGTAACGCAGAGGCAAACAACACGTTGGATTTGGGCTCCGACCATAAAGCTATGTCCGCGCAGTTTTGTTTACCACGGCGTCCAACCGACAAGCGGAAACAAACGAGAGCACCACGAAGTACGATCACCTGCGGATGGAACGACATAGACACCAAAATTCACACTGTGGCAGCCACGGACAAAATCACGGCTGCAGACCTACCGTGACACCCAGAGGGAATCAACGAGCACATCCAAAGCATAATAGTGGAAGCAGCATCGACGAGCATAAAAGCACCCAACCGAGTCCAACAACGCCCCCCGACCCAGACGTCTTCTGCAAGAACTCATAGCACGACGACAAAGCACACCCAACCAATACACGAAAGCGCGACAGCACATCAGCAAACAAATCCGGCAAGAGATCCGACGCAACAAACGGGCTACAAGAAGAGCGCAGATCGGTAAACTGTTGGGCGAATACCGGGGGCTGAGTCGAATCACTGCGATCAAATCGAGACGGCGGCGCACGCTCATCACAGGAACGCGTGGAACGGATGGCAAGATGTATACAGACAGAGAGACCATTGCAAACGTACTTGCGGACTTGTACGGGCAGCTTTATCACTCCACCCGACCAGCCACGTTACCAGGACACGACGGCGACACCATACCACCGTTTACACCGCAAGAGTTCGACAAAGCACTATCCACCCTCAAGCGTGGCAAAGCACCAGACCTGAGCGGAATCAGGGCGGAAATGTTGAAACTTGCGCCGCCAGAACTGACGCAAGCTATCTTGCTGCTCTACGACGCCATTCTCCGACCAGGTGCTCCAACCCCGCAAAGTTAGCGACAGACGGTCATCACAGTCATTCCCAAAGCAGGGGACCTTGCGCAACCGCAGAACTACCGACCAATATGCAGCATACTATCATTAAACAAGCTCTTCAGCCAACTTCTGTTCTCCAGACTGCAGCCGCAGTTATACAAGCAGCAACCTCCAGACCAAGCAGGCTTCCGCCCCGGGCGGTCCACGCAAGACCACTTGTTTACATTCCACGGTCTCCGAGAAAGAGCGCCCGAGTGGAACCGGCCCGTTTGGGTCGCAGCACTCGATTTCAAGCAAGCATTCGACACTGTGGAGCACGAAAGCCTCTGGGCGGCACTTGAAAGCCAGGGCATCGCAGCAGACTGCATCCACCGGTGAAAGCGGCTTTACTCTGGGCAAACAGCGACAGTGCAAACAGACGCAACCAGCCGCCCATTCCATCTACTGAGAGGCACAAAACAGGGTGACCCGCTCAGCTCGCTGCTCTTCAACTCGCTCCTGGAGTACATCATGAGACCCCTCGTCGCCGAAAGGCAGCAACGCGCCCAAGGAGTCCAATTGGGATTTTCACAACGAAGTTGTCTCACGAACCTTCGCTTCGCTGACGACGTTCTCCTTGTAAGTCGGGCGCTCCCTCGCCTCGCCGCGATGCTCAAGGACATGGCCGCAGCAGCGCAAACGCATGGACTTCGCATACATCCCGACAAAGCGAAGATCCTGTCCAACTTGTCAGAACGCACGGGGAGAGCACGTCAACAAAACGTTGTATGCGACGACCTCGAAATCGAGATCTTACGATAATCTAGTTGAGTGAAGTATCTGGGTCAGCGCATCAGCTTCGACGACGCAATCGCCGCAGAAGTGAAGAACCGCCTCAAGGCAGGGTGGGCAACTTTCACAAGTCACAGGCAAGAGCTCACAGGAAAACATTATCCGCTGAAGCAGCGACTCCGTCTTTTTGACGGCACGGTAACACCGACAGTCCTCTACGGCGCAGGCGCTTGGACGTTGACCGAGCCTTTGCGACAGCAGCTACAACGCACGCAACGGCGTATGATGCGCATGGTCATCGGCACACCTCGACGACGAAACGCCGACGTCAGACCAACGCCCGGGGCGACCGGCACACAAAAGCCAGTTTCGATTCCAATTTTGGCATCTGACGCGCGCAGCACTGACGGAGAAGATTGGGACAGCAACCCACCGACCGCCCACTTGAGCAACGAAACCAGCGACGCAGATCACGACGATACCGACGACAACCAGGACAACCAACCAGGTGACGATTGTCTGGAGCCATGGCTTGAGCACATCAAGCGAACGACTCGACAAGCGGACGCCCTCATGAACAAACATAAACTCCACGACTGGGCATCAGTGTAAATAAAGATGGCAATCCGATGCGCAGCCCGCGTTGCGCAGCAACTAACACATGAATGGCCGCAACGTGTTGTTCATTGGCACCCGAGCCTTCAGGCTCCCCAGACAAGACCGCGTCATCGCGGAAGACAGTGGAAGAGATGGGGCGATGATGTCCGCATTCCCACGCCGGCGAAGCGACGACGCAGACAACTGACGCCAGACGCCGCGAAGGCACCACGACCTAAACGACACCACGCTGCTCCAACCAGCTACGACACAGTAGTGGGAGCAGTTG